CTCTTATCTTCCTAGCCCACCTACATGAAACTACTATTTCAAGAAACAGCATTTTCTACCTAACACCATGTCCCCCAGAGTCTAGTCAAATATATCAGAACTTAATACTTGAGTCACATCTTAATTAAACCTCCTCCAACGTTAACAAGTAGCAACCATCATTTAAAACCCCCCTCCCCCGCAATTACATTCACCACTCCTCCCTTAGTAACCACAAGGTCCATGGAGGAAGGAATACTGAATTCCTTTTTGAATAATTGCTCCATTAAGCAGGCATGGATTAACAGACAGCTCACTGTGTAACATGATGAGAAGTCCATTACAGCCTAAACACTGACAGCACAGCCAACCCAGCTCCCTGTTCCCATCAGTTGAGTTTATATGCTTACCAAGAATAAATTTTGTTGGATTCCCAGTTGTACTTATTTTAATTACATTATTTAAATACATGAACAGATAAAATAATACAAAACATAGGGCTGCTTCTAGAAAATTAAGGTACCTATTTTTGAAAAAGACAAAGAACAGTTGATAAAAAAATTAAGCGCTGTGAAAATGTATGTATCTGACAAATATAAATCATTGGGGCATACAGTTTAAAAGGGTTCGGCTCCATATGAGAAGACTGGTTACTGAATGTATGTTTAAGTGGAAATAAAGTGTTAACGGGTTTCTTTTTTCATAAATCCTCACTTTAACTCTTGACTGGTCCCAAATCACAGGATTAGAGAAACTCCAGTATGGCTCAGGGTGTACAGCAATCCTTATCGGATGTTTCCAAGTCACTGATAATGAGATATACAGAGATGAGGAGGCACAGCTATCTTGCCTTACTTTGGTATACCGCAAGGAACGGCTGGTAGCACTGAATCCTTGGCAGTGGTCCAATGGAAAGTAGAAAACAAAAAAAGGTAGTAGGATAGGTAAGAATTTTTACTAGGAAATTCTACGTAGCTAGAAGTTAAAGTTCCAGTTTACAAGAAAGCACCAGAAAAATAAATGTTAGTCCCCTCAAATTCTACAGTTTCTTCCCGTCTGGCCCTGTCTCTGCTTCCCAAACCCGACCACCTCTTCTGTCACTTAGTAGCATGGTGTTTGGGGTCTTGGGAACTCTGACACTTGTCTTCTCACCCAATGTTAACAGTCTTTTCTACCTTGTTTTTGATGTGCTCCTTGACCTTCTACCTCTCTCCCTGGAATGCGATCTTCTCCGCCTTGGACTTTTGGATCGTCGCCTACTCCGTGACTTAGAATGTGACCGCCTCCTCGATCTGCTCCTTGACCGCCTAATAACGTAAAAGGAAGCCAGGACATGTATAGAAATGTAAAAACACTGTGTGAATACTCAGCTAAATATCAGATAGACATATGGACTAACTACCTATTAAGTGGGGATAATTCCTTTCTGGTTGCTTTCATTATTCAATCCATACAGTAAATATCTTTGATACCTTAGAAATTAGTAATACCTTTATTAACACTTAACAGAGTTTCTCACTTTTTTTTTTGGAGACAGAGTCTCATTTTTGTCACCCTCAGTAGAATGCTGCGGTGTCACAGGTCACAATGACCTTAAACTCCTGGACACAAGCAATTCTCTTCCCTTAGCCTCCCTAGTAGCTGGGAATAGAGGCGTCCACCACAATGCCCGGCTATTTTTTGGTTTGTTTAGCAGGCCCGGGCTGGATTTGAACCCACCAGCCCTGGTGTATGTGGCTGGAGTTCTAACCACTGAGCAATGGTGCCCTAATAATACATTAATTATTAATACATTATTAAATCCCTTCTTTCCTCTTACTGCTGTGCGGAGATAGCTTCTGTTGCCATTATTCTCTAGAACAATCACCTTAAACCCATCAGTTGTGCCTAACCTCAAAAGATTTTTATATTTCAAACTACTTACTTTACATCCCTTGCAATAACATCTCAATAGCCTAAGAATAATGGAATTCTTATCTACCTTTCTGCATATTCACAAAGACAAGAAATTGAGCAATTACTACAATGCATAACTTAAATAAAAGGCACTAAAAATATTCTCTGAATTAAATAACAAGTCTATAAAGTATCAGCCTCACCACTTTCTTCTTAAAGAGATTAAAACATTCTGGAAAACAAAAACTGATGTTACTAGAATTAACTATTACTCATCTTCTGAGGATTTTGGCTTGAAGAGGAATGTATGTTAAAATTTTCAACTAACAAGTCATACGTTTTTCCTACTTCAATAGAAATAAATGTAGAAACAAAAAGATAAAATAAATACAGGAAAAGTAGAGATGGAGAAAATAAATCACAACAGTATTCATACAGGTTTCTTACTAAACAAAGGGATTAATAGTAGTTTTTTTCTTTTTTTAAATCATAGCTGTGTAGATTAATAGTAGTTTTTAAAAAACAGGCAGAGGCACCACCATCAATCTACTGGCCATGAGGTCCTAATGTAGTTGTTCCAGGGCAATGTAGGGCAGAATCACTTTACTACACATAATAGCTTATATGACTTTTCAACAATCATCAAATAGAGATTAGTATATTATCTAGCAAAGTAAGAAAGGTTACTAAATGTTACGGTCATCTTATACACTGAGATGCTGAAGATACACCCTAATTATCCCTGTTATGATACAAGTGTCTCAATTCAGGGATTAAATATTTTATTTCCAGTTTTCACTGGTCATAGTAAGGAATTCTTTCTTTCCTTTTTCTTTCTTTCTTTTAAGACCAAGTCTCAAGCTATCGCCCTGGGTAGAGTGCCCGGTGTCACAGTTCACAGCAACCTCCAACTTGGGCTCAATTGAGTCTCTTGCCTCAGTTCTACTATTTTTAGTAGAGATGATGTCTCACTCTTGCTCAGGCTGGTCTAGAACTTCTGAACTCAAGCACTCTACCTGCCTCGGCCTCCCAGAGTGCTAGGATTACAGGCGTGAGCCACCACACCCAGCTAGAAATCCTCTTTGTTTTCTTTTTTTTTAGAAATTCTTATTAAAATCTGAGAAGCCTAGTAAGATTTAGTATATTAGGGAAAATCTATCAGGGGAGAAAAACTTAGTACCTTGAACAAAGGAAAAGGAGTTCCTTAGGTGGAGATGAAGACATGGAAAAAGTATGAAGCAGCAAGAAACACGCAGACACAGCAACAATGTCTGTTGGGGCAAGTGGTCCTGCAAAGATAAAGGAGACTAAAGAGTGAAGAACCCTGAATGTCATTTTTAAGGGAACTTGTCAAGATTCAAGAGAGCTGACATGACCCACAGTTGGGCTTTTTCAAAGACATCTCTAAGAACAGACAGGCTGGGAGACAAGGTGGGGGACAGAGAATAAAAGACATAACATATGGGACAACCCTAGAATAACCAACCCAAGAAATGACTTAAACTAAGACAATGACACTAGAGTAAGATAATGACAACAAAAATGAAGAGAAAGGGATTATCTCTGAGAAAGAACAAGCGTATACACAGGCTGCCTGAAGAGCAGCCGGCCACTGTGAAGACTGCACAGCACTGCTTTCATTATCACAGGGCAGCCTCCTACTCCACTGTTCTCTCAAGAATCCCGGTAATGGGAGAAATGATTTGTCTAACCCTTGGTAAAAACCATAGTGTAAAAGATACTAAGAGAAGAAAGACAACTGACAGAACTAAATTTGAGAAACAACGGACCCAGGGGTGAAGGCTATCAGCAAACAAGGAGTCAAGAATCAAGTGGAAGGAGGGCGCGAAGGGGAGCTGAATCCAGCAGAAATAACTCACCACAACTAGAGCAGCGTAGTTCTCAATGTTGGAACCAACTAGAATACAATCAGGCCAACCAGACAGAGTTTAGAAATCAAGAAAAAATGAAAAATGGTTGAAATAGTTGGTGATAAACTCAAGCACAACGGTTTTCAAGTTGAGGTTTCTGAAACTCTAGACGGCCTGAGACTCTTTCATGGAATCCATAGGGTCAAAATTATTTTCAAGATAATAAAATATTATTTTTTTTCACTGTGCTGACATTTGTACTAATGATATAAAAGCAATGGTGGGTGTGCTGGCGATGCCTCAGCACAAACCGGGTGGTGGCCGCTCAATGCCTGGCACACTCACTGCACTACACACTGGCACACAGGTCTGCACCTGTGGCCAAGAGTAATAGAAACAGAAATGCCACTTTCACTTAAAGATGTCTCTGAAAAAGCAAAGTTGATTTTTAAAATCTGGTCCCTTCAGTATTATTAAAACAGAAGATGAATTAAATCTAGTCACTTGAGTAGGTTCTTGATGGAATGGGAAGTATGCAAAAATCACTTTAGATGCCTATTAGAGTAGAAAGTATATGTGAAGGGAGACAGCGCACAGTGAGTCAGAAGGAGGAACTAGCTAGCTCCCTCTCCCTGACACATCACCTTCAAGAACCAACAAACGCTGGGTACTCAGACTTCAGCATCTGGCAGACAAACTTTTGAAAAATAAAGTCTATTAATTTAAGAAAAACAAATGAATTAGTTGGCGGTGGTAACGTTTGAGCTTTCAAGAGAATTTTGGAAAACTTGAATCCACCACCGTGAAGTTGATAGCATCTTAACACCTGAGGTATGAGATGATATTCTTATAATTCACTTTTTGATACTGGATAACAAATACAAATCAAATTTTGGCATTATATCAAAGAATACTGATCATGTTTACCTGAAGTGACTATAAATTTACCTTTTCTTTTCTAAGTATGTATTTGTATGAAGTCAGACTTTCAAAGTACAGTAATCAAATTACAGTGCAGTAAGGTGTATGCAGAATCCTGCTGCCTTCCACTGAGCTGTCAAAGAAATCTGCAAATAAGTTAAAAAAAGCTACTTTCCTCACCAAACATTTTTTGAAAAAGGCTTGTTTCAGAGCTATGTTAACATGAATGGCTTTACTATTGTTACTTCAACAGTTTTAATTTTTCACACAGCCAACACTGACAGATACAGGCCACATAAGCAGAAGCTCTTTGAGGTTCTCACACATATTTATAGTAATACAGAAGATCTCACAAATCTGCAAGTCATCCTTACACAGGGGCCACGCTAATTTTCTCTGTATCATTCCAATTTTCATATATGCACAACAGAAGCAAACAATTTTTTACAAGTGTAAAAGCATTCTAAGATCAGCAAGTTTGAGAGCCAGTGGTCTAGAGAGAACCTCTTTATATTCATAAAATGACATCATATGGAAAAGAGAACAGTCTTATTCCAGGCCAAGTAAAAGAATGACATCCTCTGTTAGTTTAAACAGTACTAACATAACAGGAACACTCTCAGAAATAACAGCAAGTTATCATTCAAGATAATTCATGCACTAGATGGGTAATCTGAGGGGTACACAAACATGCCAATCTTATAGTCTCAGTAGTCTAGTGAAAAAGTCAGATTTAGAATCACGTCAAAGTTTCAAATCCAGTGTTCTTTCTGTAGTATTTACTCATTCTGGTGCTCAAGTCTTAGTGCTTTCCTTTTAAACTTTTTGTGGGTTTTAAAGAATAAACCATCTATCTATTCTTTACCTTCCCAGAAACACCACTTTACAGAGGTGTGAACACTCATTAGACGGCAGCGGTCAGTAGAACACACTTTACACTTTAAGCAGGGGCTGGTGAGTCTAAGACAGAGGTGTCAGAACTGACCTCCATCTAAAGTAAAACTGGCTATCAAAAAAATCTGTCTAACCTGTGTCTAGAAGATGAGGGAGTCCTCCTCCTCCTAGAACGTGATCTTGATCTTGAATGTCTTCTTTTTTCTTCTTTCTTATCTAGATTTAAAATTTAAAAAAAAAAAAAAAGCTTGTGCTTAGAAATCAAACAGAATGATTATTCCCATTCAGAAGTTGTTCTAAAAATTTATCATCTTAACTTTGGCTTTTACATACATCCTTAAATATTATAAGTAAACATTTCAGAATCAGAATGTTGAAACTGAATAAAGTAAAGCAAATTACAAATTATTCAAGTTTTTTTGTAGATCCACGTTAGACTTAAATTCTCTGATTAATTTTCCTCTGACTACCTCACTTGTCAGACTGGGAGCTGTGCAGTGTTCACTGTCAAAAGCAATCTATGAAAAGGGCCGACCGTTTCAAGCTCTTGGTCCAGCACAACGTTCCTTGCTGTGCTCATGTGCACATATTCATTCTCGGAGTTCAAAGACAGACCCAACTCTTCCTTTGCCATTTAACTTCATGCCCCTTTGCTAAATAAACACACGCGCGTGTGTCTGCTCCCAGATCCAGAAGTCATGACGTGTTCACTGTTTCCATTCTTACTTCTGAGACAGAATTAGATTTTAATAACCCAACCCATCACTCTTCCTACCCACCCATTTTCAGTTGTGTAAGTATGGGAGGGAGACAAGCCCAGAACTCAAGTATTTTATTTCCTAGCTTTTAAATAACACATAAATTCTTTTAACTGAGAAACTAATGGGAGAAATAAAGCCTGGACTTTATTTCTAAGTCCGTTTATTTATTTGTTTAAGTCCATTTAAACACATGGACTATCATCAAAGTGAGATCAAGCTCCTCTATGGTTCACATTTGGGTCATTTCATTAACAGGATTAAATTTATTGTGAATGTCATTATAAATAATAAATTCACTAAATCTCAGGGGAAAAACATCAATTCATAAAGAAACAACTTTCAGTCATTCCAGTCATATGAGTTTTCAGTGAAAACAGAAAACAATTACAGGTATCCAACCTACAGCACTCTCATCTCGTGAGGACACTTCTTGCTTATCTGTGTTGTCAGAATCATGAGAGGTACGCGCAGCCTCTCTGTGTGGACAAGACAACTCCCATGGGCTCTACCAATGTGCAACAGAAATGAAAAAAGGTTGGACGCCCCCAACTAGAGCATGGTGGGTGTTAGCTTTGTATCTAAAAGCTCTTGCTGCTTATTACACAGTGCCTGCAACTATTGACATTTTTTGATAAAATGACATAAAACATTTGGTATCAGTTTATCAAGCACTATACTTTAAAAATACGATTTCTCTAATACTATGCACATTATAAACATTTTCACTTATTTACTTAGCTTAGCACACATTTTAACAATTTTTTAAAATTATTATTTTGTTTTTACAATTTCAAAATATTTGTTCCATGAATCCCTTTTATAATGTTTGAGTTAGGGCTTCTACTATGCCCATCACTAGAACAGTGTTCACCGTACTCAAATACACTTCCATTTATTAAAAAATAAGAGTAAAAAGTGAACAAGAAATTGTTTAATAGGGGGAAAAAAATCCAGGGACATAGACCTAAACATATGTAGGTAGATTAATAAGATATCCATTCACTGGTCTCAAAAACACAATCTACAAAGACTAACACATCCGGGCAGCATCCGTGGCTCAGTGCGTAAGGTGTCGGCCCCCATGTACCAAGGGTGGTGGGTTCAAACTCCACCCCGGCCAAACTGCAATAAAAGGTGCCTGTAGTCCCAACTACTTGGGAGGTTGACACAAGAGAATTGCCTCAGCCCAGGAGATGGAGGTTGCTGTGAGCTGTGACACCACAGCACTCTACCAAGGGTAATAAAGTGAGACTCTGTCTCAAAAAAAAAAAAAAAAAGAAAAAGAATAACACCTCTGATTTTCTTTACACAAATGACACAAACAAAAACCATTTTCACTAGGTTTTTCAGATTAAAAAACTTAAAAAATTATGCTGTCCCAATCTAGACAAAGGATTAAAAACACAAAATACCACATTAAGTTTTAGATAATCTCAGGTACTACCAGTATTTTGGACTGAATCAATCCTTGTGGAAGGCTGTCCTGTTCATCTTAGGAAACATCTAGGAATACCCCTGTGGTCCTCTATGCACAAGATGCAGTTGGTACCACTGTGACAACCAGGCGTGTGTCCAGACAGTTCTAAACATTTCTGGGCGGCACACTACTATATAATTTTTTATTTTACCAAAAGTTTGAGAAGTAAAGGATGACAAGCATGTTACCCAACACACGTCCACACTTATGCCGTAAGAACTCTTGCTAAGAATTATGTGGTCTACAGTGTGTAGACACGTGTTACCTGGCTCTATAGCAGCAGAAATGAGGGACTGTGCTTCTCGTACTCTTTTCATGGCTTCCTCTATTTCTTTACTAGAGGTGTCTGATTTCAGACTCGGTGAAACAAGACCAGCAGCTACATGATTCAACCTGAAAGAGAACCAAAAGTTTACATTTGAAATATTTCAAAATACACATCGGTATTTCAAATAAAATATATAAATATTTCATGTACTGTCATTTTAGTAAAATAACCCTTCAAAAAGAGGGAAGGATTCCATGATCACTTCAGTAAACAATATACAGTAGAGCTTTGCTCTAAATCTTTACAACGAGCACCTGTGCTTCAATCACTCAGAGGTATCTGAGAAAAACATCTAAATTCTGCTGAATATCCATTAACTTTTTATAAACAAATATATTTTGTTCGTGGGGAGAAATTGAGGCATAGGACAATGGGTCACGACCACACATGAAATCCTGAGCTAAAAGGCCAAAGAGGCCCCTTAAGAGTTTACATATATAAGAGACTAATCCTAGACTCTAAAGTTTAATACAGCAGCTGTCTGTGGGGAATGGGGAATGTAATAAAGAATGGGTATTCAGGGAACTTTAATAGTATTGGTGCTATTTTAGTTTCTAAGTTAAGAGGGGGAGTTCATGTTTCAATTTTAACTGTAAGAGAATTTTTAAGAAAAAGGACTACTAAGTCAAATGATACTGTCCTCTCTCCCCCACGTTCTCCCTTTAATAGTTATTTTCACTAAGTTTAGGAGAAAACGTATAAAAAGTTCAAATTTAATGTATCAAGAAATCCAGTAGGAAACACTTTCAGTTATAGCATGAAGAATGTTTATCAAAAGTCCTGGAAGATGCTGGCTCTTAATTATGGAACACATATACATCTTTGCTTCAGGACAGTGATTCCCTGAGCTCTGCCCCCTATAACTCAGGTTTATTTATTACCCTCAGTCTCTTGATATTCAAACTGAGGTCTCTTCTGGTTAGCTCTTTTGCTCTCACCTGTTACAAGACACTCGCAATTATTATGAGAAGACTCAATTACACTAAAACAAAACCCTTTTTAGATAGGCTTAATTCCGGAAAGGATTTTTCATCTTTTTCCTAGAGAATAATATATATTGCTTTTCTTGAGAAAAAAAACTTTCATGTTAACTATCAAAAAAATAACTGTTTCTTAGACATTCACACACATCACCAACAGAAACAAAAATCCTTACTTGGGATCAACAGTACTCATAAGCTTCAGCAACTGATCTGCGGCAAGAGACTGCAAAAAAAAAAGGCGACATTAGTGGCTACAGTATTGGATGGAGAAGTTTAGCAAGTTACCAGAAGATTATGAGGCTGAACTTTCTGGTCTATTTAAAGACTTTTCTGAGGGAAAGTAACATTTTAAAGAAACTTGTAGAATAAAAATCAAAACTGCTTCATATAATACAAAAATATCTCCACAAAGGCTTCAAAAAAGAGTTTAGCCAAATTACAGTGAAAGAAAACATTTCCATACTAGAAAAACAAATTATGAATCCACATTTTCATCTTTTCGTGTCTACTGACTCTTAACACCATGACATAACGAAGAAGTGTTGGCATCCTGTGAACCTATTCTATTTTTAACTATATAAAATAAGAAATTCTTGTGGACAAAGGGACATACTAATTCAGCAACCATTTAAATCAGTTTTTAATAAGTCTACAGAAGAAAAAAATTACAACAATGTCACTATCAACTGCTCTTGAAATGCAAACTAACAGATAATAGAACAGATTTTCTATAAAAATGGGATCCCAAGGTCCAGAGTGGTAAGTTGTACCTGAGAGTTCAAATTTGCTCCTGGAAGCCCAAGTGCAGCAAGGGCAGGATCAAGAGTGGGAGCCCCCAAAGCAGCCAATGGAACAGCGCCAATCTGTGAAATAGCAAATTTATTTAAAACTGTATTTCAGTTCCTTATACCAAGGGTCAGATAGTAATTTGCTGCAGGCTATGTGGTCTCTGCTGCTAACTTTATTCAACTTTATACAACTACTGTCACTGTAGT